ATCTTCATGTTTTTTTGCATTGTTTCTTTCACCGGTTAAAGTTAACCCGAATAACGTCTTACAGTATAGTAACTACCGGGTCAAGGCCACACGCAGTGACTCCTGTTAACAAGCAGAGACTGGATGAAGGAATACACGAATCAAAACGAATTACTCAAGACTGCATAGTTTCTCGTTTTATGCCAGGAAGCTATTCAGTGATTAGCTGGCATGATGAAAAGATTTTATTCATGCTCTCAGGCTAAGACCGACGATGGCCTTCAGTTTGTCAATCTAAGGCAGTTCTCAGCAACATGGAATTTGTCCAAAATGTCCTCGCTTCCAGGCAGACAGCCGACCAAGTTCCAAGTCTCTCGACATATGGGACAACAACGACTCCCTCATAGTTCCGCCCAAGTCAGATTCAATGGCGTAGATACCGCCACCGTTCCCTCTCTGTTGCTGAGGGGAAGCAAGTTACGGTTTCATGAAATCTGAACACCTACATTGTTAGATGTTTCGCATCCTTCTGTTCGTTGAAGTAACTTTGAATTCGCATCACAAATGCTGTTTAAGGAACTGGAACGTTTCACACACTATGGCTTAAACATGAAACAAAGGACTCGTAAGGTTGCTTTAGCGAACGAAATAATACAAGGTGCGTCCGTCACTATAAATATTTAGATGATACGGAGCCCTGGCCTGTATAAACAGACCCCCTCCCGCTAACCAATTCTTCTCAATCAATAAAGAATCAGATACAGAACCAAGAGACTATGGATTTAACCCCCAGTCGAGTCACCTGCATTTCCTTCTCCTGATGTAGATAAATGGTTTTCGCTCTGTGGAAAGAAAACATTGAACTACACGTCATGCTTGCCGCATACTTGTAGACTATATCGTAAAGACACTCTTGGTTGACAGCATAGAAATGATTGTATGGTCGCTGCATAAGCCTCATGAAATGAAGATCATCTCAAATAGCGTCAATTATGAAAATGTAAGGGGGACAGATATCTTAATGGTCAACATTCCTCTTTTTCGCCTCCTTTATTGAAGAGGAATTAAGAGCAAGGGGTAGGTGCAACATGCCCTGAAATCGGGTATTGGAAGAGTTATGAGCCAACCGACACACTCTTGTTGTGAACATATTTTTAGGTGCAATAACATATATTTATCTAGAGAATTTAGCTTTTCTTCGTGCCTCTAACCAAGAAACTGTAGATTATTTTTTATCTCATTACCTGTTTGTAGAAAGTTGTGTCATGCTGTATGCCTTCTGATCAAAGACGACAAAAACCTTACTGCGCCATAAAACTAAAACGCAAAAAATTACATAACCGCCCATAGTTAGAGCGATGACTTCTGACAGTGAGGTGACAACACGATTCGTTTTGCTTCACAGTTAAAAGAAGCTTCATCGCTTCACATATTACCAGTACAGATAGAACGCTTCTCCATCGTACTACGAAAGCCAAAGAAACTTGTCAAACTTACGATTTACGGTAGACTACCGTATGGTAGCTTCATGCATATCTGTTAGTTTAATGCACCATCGAATGCCGCCTCTGCAGTACCTCTTGTAGATCTCAGTTTCTATCTTTTGAAGATGCTGAATCAGCTATTGAATCTTGTTTCCGTTAAGCATCTCACAGTTATGGTGCCACCTGACGTGGAATGATGAGATCGTTCTGCCTTGATAAATTTTTGATTCTTCATTTGGCGATTTCAGAACCAGCTGACAAGTTCAAACAGCGAAAGCGTAGTCGAAATCGGGCCTACCGTAGCGC